TTGGAGGGAGCTTAAAATTCGAGTTGCCAGGCGACAACCTCGGAACCTGAATGATTTGGAGGCTGTCTGCAGGGAGGAGTGGGCCAACATCCCTGCCGAAATGTGCACAAACCTTGTCACCTTGTCACGGGGTCAAATACTTGTTTTTCCTCATCAGATGGTTATTATTTTTTATAAATTCATATGATGTGATTTTCTGGAATTTTCTTTAGGATTCTGTCTTTCACTGTTAGAATGTACATATGATTAAAATTATAGATCGTTGCATTCTTTGTAAGTGGGCAAACCTGCAAAATCAGCAAGGGGTCAAATACTTATTTCCCCCACTGTATCTAAATTCCAAGAGAACCCGAACGCAGCACTAAACAATATTTACCAGGGACCAAGAGTTGTTTAGTTTTCTTTCCTGAGGTATAACTCATCTGCAGGCAGAAACTCACTGATTATATCAACCTTAGTGGGAGGAGCCAAAGCACTACAGTAAAAACCCTGAACCTCAGTGAGAAAGACAAGAGGTTAGATAAGTTTGGCATATAGCCACTAACATCTGTGACCTGTTGCAGCAGAGCCAAGCGGATCACAAACGTTGTGGTTATGACTGAAAAGAAAGAAATTATGTTTTTTTTATAGCTTTTGCTTCTACAGCTAAATGGTGCTCAGTAAACTGTTTTATTGGCTCCAAAGCCAACAAAGCTTCCAACCTTGACTGACGACATGTAGCTACTGTCATCCCTCTACATGTTTTCATACACAAGTCTGTTTTTGTTGATCTAATTTATATCCTACTCTCATTAGGCAAAAGCTACGGAGTATAGAAACAGCGTAAGAAGGAGTTTGAGACTTAAAGGAAGGTGTACTCCCCTAACTGCACCCACTGTTGTATTACGCAGGGCCGCCTCTTCCTCCTGTGAGTGGGTGTTGGACGATCTCGGCCTGGAGAATCACAAACCGCCAGAACGGACTGATCGTTCGCAAATGGACCAAGTACATCAGTGGGATTTTCACATGTGGAGTCAGCTTAAGTGTCTCATGACTACTTTTATCTGTGCGTTTAAATTGTTAAATAAATGAGGATTTATGATTAACTGTGTGCAGTGTGCTGATTGGTTTAGACAAAGGACAAAGAGAGAGCAGAGGAATTAACATCCTGACTCTTTGCTGGTGTTGCTGTTTGATATTTAAACACTTTACTTCTTTAAGTGGGACAGATGTTCAGTTTAACACAGACAGTAAATAAAATGAGTTAACAGTTATTATAAAGCCTTTATTAACACTTTAATTAATCTGAACAATGATGGTGTTCAGCTGTAATAAAAATATAAAAGGTCAGTTCAGGAAAAGTCTTTAAATTTGAACTGAAGTGGTTAAACTCACACATGGATCATTTTGCCCCTTAAAGCAGCAGGAGCCACATTTGATCTGGTCTGTGTGAAAATGGCAGCTGCTATAGAAATGACTGAGCCTGGCCAACATCAGTCATTCAGTCCTGAGGTGAAGCGTTACTGCAGGAACCTGAGGTTGGTTACTGAGAGCATCAGGCTGCAGATGGAGCTACAGATATAATGTGTTTCAACTGTTTCTACACACAGTTCACTGTTTAACTGGACAATATAATGTGTTGCAGGTGTTGAAATTGTTGTATCTGTTCATGTGTTGTAGTCTTGGATTTCTTTTTTGAACACTCAGGATACTTGGATACTCTGACAGTATCCATAGTAACAGCAGTATCCTCAGATCAAGGAGAAGAGAAATAAACAGAGAGATGAATAAAGATGTTTCAGAGAGAAGCCACTTCCTCCCACAGCGTCTCTGTGCAGGTAGAAACAAACCTGTGAGCTCTGTTCTGTTTCATCACTTCATCATCTAGTTTATTAGATTAACAACAGTCCACACTGAACTACAGGGAAACACTTTATTCATCTTTTAGAAGCACAAACAAAGAAAGCAAAGATTAAAGATTGATCTGAATTCTGTCTTAAGTTGATGTCATCAGTTATAAAGCATCCAGTCTTATCTGACATGGAACAAAACAAAGAAACATCAGAGCGTTCATCGTCTATAATGTCATAAATGATCTTCATGCTGTTTAATGTTTCATATTTGCTGTGATTTGATGATACAAATTTATTAAAGAATATTGAATATCTTGTTAATTGTATATAATACAGTGCATCTGGAAAGTATTTACAGCGCTTCACTTTTTCCACATTTTATTATGTTACAGCCTTATTCCAAAATGGATGAAATTGATTATTTTACTTTAACAATACCCCATAGTAACAGCGGGAAAGAAGTTTGTTTGAAATCTTTGCAACTTTATGCACATGTTCATAAGTATTCACAGCCTTTTCCATGACACTCAAAATTGAGCTTCCTGTTCTCACTGATCTTCCTTGAGATGTTTCTACAACCTGACTGGAGTCCACCTGTGGTAAATTCAGGTGATTGGACATGATTCGGAAAGGCACACACCTGTCTACATAAGGTCCCACAGTTAACAGTGCATGTCAGAACACAAACCAAGCCACGAAGTCAGACGAAGTGTCTGTAGACCTCCAAGACAGGATTGTTTCGAAGGAAAATGACCCTGTTCACACAGCCAAGATAACAAAGGAGTGGTTACAGGACAACTCTGTGAATGTCCTTGAGTGGCCCAGCCAGAGCCCAGACTTGAACCCGATTGAACATCTCTGTAGAGATCTGAGAATGGCTGTCCACAGAGGCTCCCCATCCAACATGATGGAGCTTGAGAGGTCCTGGAAAGAAGAATGGGAGAAACTGCCCAATAATAAGACTAACTAATAAGACCTGAGGCTGTAATTGGTGCCAAAGGTGCTTAAAACAAAGTACTGAGCAAAGGCTGCAAATACTTATGTTTGTGTGCTTTTTTTCGTTTATTTTCTTTTATATATTTGCAAAGACAAACTTCTTATAGGGTATTTTTTCTAGAACTTTGAGGAAAATAATGAATGTCATCCATTTTGGAATAAGGCTGTAACATAACAAAATCAAACTATATATTGAGGAATATGGTACCAAACTTTGTTGCAGGTAATGAGGATAGTTTAAATGTACACATTTAAAAATGTATGCATCTTCTTATATTGAGTGGAAGCCATTTAAATGTTATATTATACAGTTATTGTACAGCAATGAGTACTAAAGGAACATCCAAGAAAAAATCTACATTGATCATTGTATGCTATATTGAGGGGTAGAAGGGTAGTTTTAAATGAATTTTGATCAACACCATTGGCATACTCAAAAAATAGTAATATAAGTTTTGTGGCAAGTTTCTTTCAGACATTAAGTTTGTAGACACTGGTTCCAAAATAGCCGATCTGCAATCAGTTCCTCAACTATCTTTTGTTCACAACAATGAGAGGCCACACAGAGGCCTCACTGGGCCACACAGGGGCCGTCAAAGAGAGAATAAGTGGACCCAGCATCGAATCCTGGGGTACACCTCTTTGGACTCTCCACTTACTCCTTTGAAGGACAACAAATTGTTTTCTATTATGTAAATACAAACTCAGTCATAAAAATGCATTTTGAGCTAAACCAATAGGATTATTATATATTATATATTGGTCTTAAGATACTGTGATAACTGATTAAATATTAGTTTCTTGAATACATTAGCTATAGAACAGATAGTCGATATATAATTATTCGGATAAAAACTTTCACAATATTTGTAGAGGGAAATAATATATGAATATTTCCAGGTAGATTAAAGACATGATAAACAAGTCAACCAGTGGATACATGAGAATATGAGAGGCTAATTTATCAAGTCTGCACCACTGTTTGATATAATTTAGAACTTTAGTGGGTGTTATTTTCGTAAAGGAATAGGTACTGTGACAATGTGAACTGTTATTTAAACTTTCAGTAGGTTTCAGTGGTTTTGTCGATTTATCAACAAATAATAACAAAGTCTTTTTATTACGTGGGTTTTAGAATTTACTATGGCTAGTAGCTATCCGTACAAGCTCGTCCTCCTCAGTTATTTCTACTCCTCCTCCTGTGACCTCTGTCCTCTTCCTCTTAAATTACTGTAGGACGCTCATCTCTGTGTGACAATTTTGGCTCCTTTTAAACTGTTTATGAACACGTAACAGGTTTTTAAGGCCAAGGATGGTCACAGACAGGAGCAAACACATGGTCCAGGAGTTTGTCCCGGTCAGCCTGCTCTCCAGACAAAGCATGTGTCGGGGCCTCTGGGTCTTTAGAGAACTTTATTCCTGTATGCTTGAGAATGAAAGTACAGTACAACTAGATGAGCTCTCCAAAAGTAAAGAAATCAACTCAGCTGAGTCTTTGAATACAATAAATAAATAAATAAGCCATATCATCATCAGTCTTACCATAAACTGGTGCTTTGGACTGTTGGTGGCTTTGACTCTGTTTTGCTATTGCCCTCATCTATTGCCCTCATCTATTGCCCTCTTGCTGCCTGTCTCATGTTCACCATGTCAGAGCTAGTACTGGTGCTGCTGCTGTGGCGGTACTCAAAATATTTACTCAAGAAAAAGTACAATTACTCTATCTACTATTTATTTAAATATATATTTTGTCTGCTGTGCATCAGGTTATTTCTAGGGAATGCAATTTGCTTTGCTTGTTGATTATCTGTAATTTAGCCTTTTCTGTTTAAAACAATTATTTTCCTTTAAATCTCCATGAATGTGTCTCTTTTATTATGGACATAGCCTACCAAACCACTTGCTTTGAAATAACACAGGCAGCCCATAGAATCTGATAATTCCTTAAGCATCTATATAATCTTAGCAATGCAAAGAATTATTGTGGCAGTAACACGGAGCAGCTCGTTGTTGAAGCAGGTAAACCTACATTCAGAGGAAGCTGTGCGTCATGTGTAAAGCCCAACAGGACGCTTCTATCCACCCATATTTTCTCTCTCTCTCTCTCTCTGCGTCTCAAAAATGATTGTTTCCTGAATAAATAACATCTGGTAGCAGCTGAGTGAAAGCCAAGATCAGTTTCACCAGCAACATTCTGTTTATGGACGTCAGACTTCACTATAAAACAAATAGTAATCGATGTGAAAGAACAAAAGAAAGCGATGCTCTTTTCAACAACAGGATACTGTTAATATATCGGAATCAATCCAGTGATCATCTGACTTAGATGTTACAGCCCGAAGTCTACGTTTGCTTTGCAGAGACTAAATACGCTTTTAATGCGCCGTTAATGGAAAGTGGCTTGTTAAAGCACGGCAAGTTCCAACACGGCCACCAGTGCCATAGAGTGCGCTCACTAGATTTCAGTTGTATTAGTAGAACGATAAAGCCTTAAACAGAAAAGGTGTTTGCCTGATTTTCTAAATCTTTGACAAGCGCCCGACCCCAGGGCTCTTCTGCGTAACGGCGCACAGCCTGGATGACGGCTCATGACTTATTTTATTTATTTAGCAAATTTGCGTTAGGCTACTTGTGACAAGTTATGAGCCACCCTGCTGCTGGCGTCCTTAGTACTGTCTTCAAGTAGGCTGTAAGTAACAGCAGCACAAAAGAAAAGTCTGTAGCCGAATATTGAGGCGTTTTGCAGCACCTGCCTCTTTTTTTCTCCCTTAACTTTTCAGCACCACCTTTGTCTTCTGTTGCATGTTTTCTATAGGCCTACATCATTTTTATCCGTGTTTCAACCGTTTATTGAGCCTATGTCTGAGTGTGTGATCGATTGACCAGTCACTCATAGTAAACCGCCTCGGCTATGAGCCAACTCCGAAATCGCCGGAGAAAAGTGGGGGGTTGTGCCCACATCTTTACAGAGACCTGCGCCATCAACATCCACGATCAAACTCTTGGTGGGCGGTTCGTGTACCGAGCTGTCAGCGCAAGACGAGAGGAGACAGACTGTGTTTCACTGTGTTCTACATCGATGATGTTTGGTGCACAGTCAAGATGGACTCTACCATATTATCATCTGGTTGCTGCTGTTTACATTCACCCCACATGCAAATTCAAAAAATGCGCTGCAGAATGTTCTGGGTGTATATGTGTCCGTCTATATATGTATATAAATAACTGTATATATTGTGTTATAGCCTACTTAATTTGATATCGTACCATATTTTAATATAGGCTACACTTAATTATATCTTAATTTCTGTGTGTGTAACAAGTCTGAGATTTCTGCAGGAGGTTTTAGTTTCAGTACTGTTGCTATGGTTGCCTGTAGTTTAATATTATAGGCTGCTGATTTAGACAGACACCTGACAGCCAATGAGAAGTCTGTGGCCATGGTCTGCATCACAGTGTCGTACACTGCTAAATATTACAATGAGATCTCCGCTTCTTTAAAGTTTCCGTTATTGAAACAAATGAAAACAGAAAAAAGGAAGAACGTCTGAAACTGTTCTGTTGATGAGACGTTTACGTGAAACAGATCCTTAAAAAATGGGACACCATGATCTTGTGGCATATTCCAGTTGTTTGATCAGAGCTTCAAACTCCTTCTTGTGTTTCTCTTTGAATTCATTAAACTCTTCAGCTTTCTGTCTGGCCATCTCTTCATATATCTTTTTCAGATTCTCCATTTTCTCCTTATGTTTCTCCTCAATGTCTTCTTTCTCTTTTTCCTCTCTTTCTCTTCTGATTCTGTCCTCTTCCTTTCTTTTCTTTTCATCATTTTCTCTTTCCTGTTTGTATTCTTCTTGAAGCTTTCTAAGTCTTCTTTGTTCCTCCTGTCGTCTCTCTTCGTTTTCTTGACATCGTTTTTCCCACCATTCTTTTTGTGTTTTCTCCCAGTTCTCTCGTTCTTTTCTCATCTCTTCTCTGCTCTCCTTCAGCTTTCTGTAAATCATTTCCTTTGATTCTGATTCTGATCTTATATTTTGCTCCAAAGCTTCAAACTTTCGTTTCCACTCCTGTCGTTGAATTTCTTCCTGTTGTTTTCTCTTCCTGTCTTCTTCTTCTCTCATTTCCTGTTCTTTGTTTCTCTCCTCACGTTCCTTCTTTATCTTCTCCTCCTTTTCTTTAAGTTGTTTTTCTCTCAGTTTTCTCTCCTTTTCAGTTTCTGCTCTCTGTTCTTCCATTCTTCTTTTCATCTCTTCCATTTCCTCCTCATGTTTTCTTTGAAGCTCCTCCCTCTCTCTCTTCATCTCTTCTTCCTTCTCCTTCAGGATTCTCTCCATTTCTTTCTTTATAGCTGCCTCGGCCTCTTGCAGCATCTCATTGGTGTAGCAGCTGCCTCCATTTTCCTTCACCATGGTGTCAATCTTGGTTATCAGCTCACTGACTTGTGTGCGGTTTTCTTCATCATAGTTATCAAACACATGGTATCTTCCTCCACAGTCAGAGATCAGCTTCTTAAAGGAATCATCACATCTATTTTCAATGTATTCTTCAATGGTTCGCTTCTCACGCTTTAGTTTATCTCCTCCAGTTAAAAGAATGATGGTGAACTTTTCAGCATTCTTCCCAAAGGCTTTCTTGATGAGTTTTAATGTCTCCTTCTCCTCTTCTGTAAATCTCCCGATCTGTAACACCAACAGGAAGACATGTGGTCCTGGAGCCAGAAGACTGATGCATTTCACCATCTCCTCATAAACCTCTTCATGGGACAAAGTTGTGTCAAACAGACCAGGAGTGTCGACCACAACGACCGGACGACCGTCCACTTCACTCTGTGCTTTCTGACAAAGTTTGGTGACTGATGTTTGTCTTGATTCAGCTTTAAACTCGTCTCTTCCTAGAATGGTGTTTCCTGTAGAGCTCTTTCCACAGCCAGTCTTCCCTATCAGCACAATCCTGAGACTCTCTGGGCTCTGCTCCTCATCATCACCTGGGAAATAAGAAGACCTGGAGTTACTTTAAATATTCTCAGCAGCTACAGTGAAGGTTCAAGACTGTGATGATCAACATGGTTCAGGACACAGAAAAACATTTTAATTCAAAGTACTTACAAGTGATCTTGTTCTTCTTTATTATCCTCTCTAGTTGTATGACCTTTTCCATTTGTGCACGTGCAAATGTTACAGCTGTATAGCAGGATGGTTTATTTTCAGATTGTCTCATCTTTTCCACCATGTCCAGCAGCTCTGGGATCTGCTGCTTGTCCTTGATGTTGAGAACAACATATCTTCCTCCACAGCTCTGACGGAGCTCCTGGATGTCCTTGTTTTCCTTTACAAAGTTAACAACAGCTGGAGCTGCAGGATCTGACTCCACAGTCAACAGAATCATGGTGAAGTCATCGACTCGAGAGCCGAATGTGTTCTGGATGGTCTTTAACTCTCCCTTGTCTTCATCAGTGAGGGGACCCACAGGTAGGACCAGGATGAAGACATGGACGCCCTCAGGATCACAGAGGGAGATACACCTGAGTGATTCCTCCATCACTGCCTCCTGAGGTTTTCCATACAAGGCAGGCAGCTCCACCAGGGAAACCCAACGTCCACACACCTCTCCCTGATGTTTAACACACTCTGATGAGTTGGAGACTGAATGAAACTCTGTCTGACCTAAAATGGCCTTGGCTGCTGAAGTCTTAGCTGCTCCTCTCCTCCCACACAGAACCAGGTTTAAAGCTGGTTTGATGTGTTCAGACTTTGGTCTGATGGTCTCTTCAGTGAAGGTGAGGAAGGTTCCTCTGTTTTCATGCACAATGTTCTCAATCTTCTCCATCAGCTGTCCATGGTCTTCTTCTACCATCCTGTAGTGTCTTCCTCCACAGTCTTGAAGCAGCTGACTGACAGAGCTACTTGTTCCATCATGTGTGCTGATGACCATTGAGTGTTTAAAAGCATCTTGACCAAACAAACTCAGGATGAACTTCAGTGTTTGTCTGTTCTCCTCAGTGAAATCAGAAGGCTTCACTAACAGCAGCAGAACATTTGGTCCAGGATGACAAAGAGTCTCACAGCTCTTCACCTCTCTTCTCAGCTTCTCCACAGTCAGACTGAAGATGTCTGGAGTTTTCACTACTGTTAATGGTTTTCCTCTCCACTCTCCGTTGATTGTCATAAAGTGTGTGATTGGGGGAGTTTTTGGTCCCTGATGATGAAGTTTTGGAGTTTTTTCTGTTTGTCCTCACTTTTTCCCAGCAGCACAATCCTGAATCCAGATGCTGTAAAATGGAGAAAGATAAAAAATTATATAAAGTCAATCTGAGGCTGAAATCACTGCAATTGGCCGACGTGCGGAGATCTCTTCAGTCATTCCAGGGTTGGTCAATGTTCTGGGTTAGTGTCAACTTTGGTAACTTTTGGTGTTTCAACTGTTTCTCTTTGTCTGTAGATGTACTGTATACAGATAATCAATATAGTATATGTGACAATTCCTGAACATAATATTTAGGAGGCTCTATTGACAGAAATGCAATATAATATCCATTACTATATTTTCAGTGGTGAATAAAGACATTTCCTAATGTGAACTGTTATGTTTTATTACGTTAGAATGAACCATTTTTATCTATATACGCCTCTTTTCAGAGTGGGTGGAGGGGGGACAGGAGGATGGCCAAAGTCCAGGGCCAGAAGACAACAAAATAGAGTCCCTGGTCAGAAAGGAAGACGAAACGAGACGTGTCTGGAGGCCGGGCAGGGGGCCAAAGACTCTTTGAGTGTCATTCAGAATTTTCAGAAAGTAAATGCTCTCAATTCAACTCAAAATAAAGCATTTCTGCAAAAGTTCTTGCACTTTAATTTCGTAGGCAAAATCACTAAAGAGCGTGATTATGCGAGTAACTGTTGCTGTCATGACAATGGACCGTACTCACCACAGAAGTAATGTAGTAGTAGTGTTTTTTCTTGTCAGTGTTGTAAAATATGTAGTTGGATTTTAATTGCATGTGTGTCAATGCTTTGGCTTTGCTAAGTAGAGAGAAAAATGTGCCGGTATTCTGTCTATATACATGCAACCTATTGTCACCGTCCTGGCCCTTTAAGGACGGTGGTGGTGTGGGAAACAGGAAGAAAAACAAGTGTGTGTGATCTGCTAACGTGGCTGGGGAGAGTAAGTTAAAAACCGTTCAGCTAGTGGGTGAGACTGACAAAACAAGCTCTGGTGGAGTGCCGACGAGCCGTGTAATGTGTGAATTACTGCTGTAAAGGAGAAATAAAGTTCCTGCTGACGAACGCTGCAACGACGTCTTAATCATGTTAATGAGTGGCCCGGACTGCTAAAGCTAGTTACCAGCTGCGAGCCAGACTAAGTTAATCATTGAACGCCAGTCTGTTCTCAACGACGGTTCTGAGCAGAAAGCTGAGAAGGTAACACTGGGGGCTCGTCCGGGATATCAACTTTGCAAAGAAGAGGATAGGTGAAGACTCGTCATGGACGGAGGGAGAGAATGACGGCGCCCGGAGGTAACGTTAACGTTAAAGCTACGGCCGGAGCTAGGAGACTTGCGGAATTAACGAGCCCTAATACTAGCAACAACCCATTCTTGGTGGACATAAGAGGGACTGCTAGAGAGGATGTGGACTCAGTTAACCAAATGAACTTTGGACGTATTGATGAGGGAGACAGCGGTAACCCATTTGTGACCAGTATGGAGCTAACATTAGCCGCACGTGAAGCAGCGGCCCACACATTAGCCCTGCCACCGAGTGTAGCGTGGCCGCTCACACCACCGTCCTCAGTGTCGGCTAACCCTTTTCGAACACCAGCAGAGCGGCAATTCGCGGCGGACGGTGAGTTGAATGTAGGAGCTTCCTATAAAAAGGATTGTGATTGCTCCCGAAATGTAACATCCACCCCAGCTACACATTACGGGACTGGAATCGGCCTAAGCCAGGCTGCCGCTCTCATCGCCAGCAGCCCAATAGTTAACCATTTCATCCCTGTGAATTACAGTTACCATATGACAAACCCTGAATTACCCCCAGCCCATACAGCATATCATCAGCAGACTCTGTCACCTTGCACTCAGTGTATTCCCCTGTCTGTGAGGCATGGTCCTGCATCGCAAGCCCAGGGCCATGACCTCATTCTGCCCTGTGATGCACTGCTTCTACCGGGTAGACAGCCTGAATGTAGGAGGACCAGGCCTGCACTGCGGGGCTGTTCATCTCACGTAGTGCATCAAAGTGAAGCGGTAGACAGCAGTGATGAGGAACTTTGTGGGCAGAGAGAGTGGATTCCCACACAGTGACCAAGCCATTTTGATGGATCAGGCTCATGGAAAGACTTTCTCTACCACTTTGAAAGCTGTGCGAGAGCAAATCACTGGTCTGAGAAGACCAAGGCTGTTCAACTGAGATTCAGTCTCACCGGAGCAGCTGGCTCCATCATCCATAAAAACCCCAGATCTGATCGATGGAGCTACCAGAGGATGGTGGACAAAATTGAAGCAGCCTACAGACCATGCTCAGAGTGTGCAGCGGCCATAGGTATTGAACTGAGACAGAGGGTTAGGGGGCCAAGTGAAGCCTTGCACAGCCTGAGGAATGACATTTACGAGAAAGTTTCTACTGTGTATGCTGATCGTGCTGAGCTGGAACAGGATGCCATCAGTGTGGAGATTTTCACTAACGCTCTAGCCGATGCTGAGGTAGTCCAAAGATTGCTGGAGGAGCGACCACGCACCCTGGCTAGAGCTTATGAAATAGAACACAGGTATGAAACCACCAGGCGCGCCGCCAGGGCCATCACGCAACTGATGCAGCCAGGCGTGCGGAGGTCCTTTGAGCCGAGAGCCAGGGCAGCTACAGTGTTTGAAAGTACTCATGGACCTGCACATAGTGAGCTGGAGTGGGGGGGCGCGAGGCACACTGGCGCGCCAGAGCGGGGGCCGAGGCCTAAGCAACAATGTTGGCCCAAAAGGGACAAGTCTGCAAGAAAGAACGCAGGAGACATCATTTGCCATAACTGCTCTGGACTAGGTCATCTCCAGAAAAACTGCCACTCCCCCGCCAACCCAAACAGCAGGCCTACATTGTCAGCATGAGCCAGGCACCCGATCCAGCTACAGTGGTCACCTGTACCAAGAGCCAGGAGGATGAGATGTGTGTTCAGATATTAATACAAGGACTCGAACTCTGTGCTTTGCTAGATTCTGGTGCACGAAGGAACGTGCTGCCACTCTATCACTTCAACACTCTCCCCACTGAGTTCAGACCTCCAATACAGCCATCAGTTGCACAGATCTTGCAAGGCATCGGCCCTGGGGGCCTGGCCGTTCTGGGGGAGGTTGTTCTGCCAGTGCATATTGGGGGCCGAGTCACTGACGTGAACTTCATCATGGTTGATGCAGCCGGGAGCACCAAAGTCATCCTAGGGCACCCCTTCTTGTGACAGGCGAATGCTCTTTTGGACTATGGCCGCAGGGAGGTGACCCTTTTGGTGAGAAAGTGCCCCAATTTAACTCCGCCCGCCACCCGGAGGCACACCTTGTGAGAGTGGCCCGCGCTACAGTGTTGGAGTCCGGGTGCGAGTACGTGGTGCCTGGCACAGCTCGCCTTCGGCACGCTGCTAAAGGGGACATGATGCTGAGTCCAACAAAGAGTTTCATCGAGAGGCACTGTCTACTGGTTGCTCATGTTGTGGTGCAGACGCGGAAATCCGCCAACATTCCCATTAGGGTCTTTAATCCCGGAGCTGCACCTGTCACCTTGAGGAGAGGGGCTGTGGCCGGTGTTCTCCAGCCAGCAACGGTATTGGAGAAGGTGGAGCAACAGACACCAAGGGCCCCAGCAGCATCTGTGCCTATTAACACTGCCATTGCATCGATTACTAACACTGTCCCTGCTCCTGTACCTTTTCACCTGTAGACCCTGTTCGCTGACAGCTGCGCCACGCTGTGTGAGGCTGACCGTGGTAGATTGGCCAACCTGTTGCAGTCCTACAGCGATGTTTTCTCTGCGGGGCCCACTGATCTAGGCTGCACCAACCTTGTGCGTCACGATATCTTGACCACCCCAGGGCCCCCTGTGAAGCAACCTCCATGCAGGATGGCCAGGGATAAACAGACTGCAGCAGACCAGCAGGTGCAGCAAAGCCTGGAGGCTGGTGTCGCCCAGCCCAGCAACAGCAACTGGGCTGCTCCAATTGTAATGGTGAGGAAAAAGGATCGGAGCCCACGGCTATGTGTGGATTACAGAACCTTAAATGAACGGACTATTTTATTAAACCTTTATTTAACGAGGAAAATCCCATTGAGATTACTAATCTCTTTTTCAAGGGAGTCCTGGCCAAGACAGCGGCACAGATCACAACAATTCAGTACATTTCAGACAATTTCATAACAATTTCATAAGACTATTTAAAAACATTTACAAACCATAGATTTCATTTCCAAACCTTTGAGCAAGAGTTTAAATTGGCCTATTGAAACCAGTTCCTTTAATTTCCAGAATTTTTGTAAATTGTTCCATGTTGTGGGGGCAGAAAAGTGAAATGCCACCTTACCAGCTTCTGTGCGGACACTTGGTACAGACAGTAGCAGTGAGTCTTGTGAGCGTAAAGAATACAGTCCAGCCCCTTTTGGTTGAATATATTCACAAAGATATGAGGGGAGCAGACGCAGAATACCCTTATAAATAAACATATACCAATGACTGAGTCTACGATTTTCCAGTGCTGGCCAGCCCACACGTGTATAAAGTTCACAGTGGTGTGTGCGAGGCTTACAGTTTGTGATAAACCTCAATGCGGCATGGTAAACAGAGTCCAATAGTTTCAATACTTGGGTCGGGGCATTCATATAAATGAGGTCACCATAATCCAGAATGGGTGTAAATGTTGCAGCTACAAGTTTCTTTTTTGCATTGAAAGAAAAACATAGCCTATTTCTAAAATAAAAGCCAATTTTCAGTCTCAGTTTCCTAACCAAATGTTCAACATGTCCTTTAAAACTAAGACTGTCATCAATTAAAATACCTAGATATTTAAAAGATTTAACTCTTTCGATTTCTGCCCCTTGAAGAGTGACAATTGGAGGACTTATGTGCAGATTGCTCTTTGCTTTTGAGAATAACATCAACTTGCTCTTATTTGCATTTAAAGTAAGATCCAGTTGTAGAAACATATTCTGAACTTTGTTAAAAGCGTTTTGTAAGGTAG